TTTTTATCTATTAACTCCACGCCTCTTGTCAAGACCCTCGCATTTACTTCTCTTACAACCCCATCTATAAATATATTAAACAACCACGGTGACATCACACATCCTTTTCTAAGGCTTACTTTTACTGGGAAATAATTTCCCTCTTTCCTACATACTCTAACTTGAGCCTCAGTATCCTCGTAAAAAGTCTTCACTGCTTTCAGTAACCTACCTCCTACACCATACACCTGCAACATCTGCCACATTGCCCCCCTATCCACCCTGTCATACGCCTTTTCCAAATCCATAAATGCCACAAAGACCTCTTTAGCCTTATCTAAATACTGTTCACTTATATGTTTTCACTGTAAACACCTGGTCCACACACCCCCTACCTTTCCTAAAGCCTCCTTGTTCATCTGCTATCCTATTCTCCGTCTTACTCTTAATTCTTTCAATAATAACTCTACCATACACTTTACCAGGTATACTCAGCAGACTTATCCCCCTATAATTTTTGCACTCTCTTTTATCCCCTTTGCCCTTATACAAAGGAACTATGCATGCTCTCTGCCAATCCCTAGGTACCTTACCCTCTTCCATACATTTATTAAATAATTGCACCAACCACTCCAAAACTATATCCCACCTGCTTTTAACATTTTTATCTTTATCCCATCAATCCCAGCTGCCTTACCCCGTTTCATTTTACCTACTGCCTCACGAACTTCCCCCACACTCACAACTGGCTCTTCCTCACTCCTACAAGATGTTATTCCTCCTTGCCCTATGCACGAAATCACAGCTTCCCTATCTTCATCAACATTTAACAATTCCTCAAAATATTCCCTCCATCTTCCCAATACCTCTAACTCTCCATTTAATAACTCTCCTCTCCTATTTTTAACTGACAAATCCATTTGTTCTCTAGGCTTTCTTAACTTGTTAATCTCACTCCAAAACTTTTTCTTATTTTCAACAAAATGTGTTGATAACATCTCACCCACTCTCTCATTTGCTCTCTTTTTACATTGCTTCACCACTCTCTTAACCTCTCTCCTTTTCTCCATATACTCTTCCCTCCTTGCATCACTTCTACTTTGTAAAAACTTCTCATATGCTAACTTTTTCTCCCTTACTACTCTCTTTACATCATCATTCCACCAATCGCTCCTCTTCCCTCCCGCACCCACTTTCCTGTAACCACAAACTTCTGCTGAACACTCTAACACTACATTTTTAAACCTACCCCATACCTCTTCGACCCCATTGCCTATGCTCTCATTAGCCCATCTATCCTCCAATAGCTGTTTATATCTTACCCTAACTGCCTCCTCTTTTAGTTTATAAACCTTCACCTCTCTCTTCCCTGATGCTTCTATTCTCCTTGTATCCCATCTACCTTTTACTCTCAGTGTAGCTACAACTAGAAAGTGATCTGATATATCTGTGGCCCCTCTATAAACATGTACATCCTGAAGTCTACTCAACAGTCTTTTATCTACCAATACATAATCCAACAAACTACTGTCATTTCGCCCTACATCATATCTTGTATACTTATTTATCCTCTGTTTCTTAAAATATGTATTACCTATAACTAAACCCCTTTCTATACAAAGTTCAATCAAATGCTCCCATTATCATTTACACCTGGCACCCCAAATTTACCTACCACACCCTCTCTAAAAGTTTCTCCTACTTTAACATTCAGGTCCCCTACCACAATTATCTCTCACTTGGTTCAAGGCTCCTATACATTCACTTAACATCTCCCAAAATCTCTCTCTCTCTCTCCTCTGCATTCCTCTCTTCTCCAGGTGCATACACGCTTATTATGACCCACTTCTCGCATCCAACCTTTACTTTAATCCAATAATTCTTGAATTTACACATTCATATTCTCTTTTCTCCTTCCATAACTGATCATTTAACATTACTGCTACCCCTTCCTTTGCTCTAACTCTCTCAGATACTCCAGATTTAATCCCATTTATTTCCCCCAACTGAAACTCTCTACCCCCCTTCAGCTTTGTTTCGCTTAGGGCCAGGACATCCAACTTCTTTTCATTCATAACATCAGCAATCATCTGTTTCTTGTCATCCGCACTACATCCACGCACATTTAAGCATCCCAGTTTTATAAAGTTTTTCTTCTTCTCTTTTTTAGTAAGTGTCTACAGGAGAAGGGGTTACTAGCCCATTGCTCCGGCATTTTAGTCGCCTCATACGACACGCATGGCTTACGGAGGAAAGATTCTTTTCCACTTCCCCATGGACAATAGAAGAAATAAAGAAGAACAAGAACTATTTAGAAAAAGGAGAAAAACCTAGATGTATGTATGTATATATATATATATATGCATGTGCGTGTCTGTGAAGTGTGACCTAAGTGTTAGTAGGAGAGTAGCAAGATATCCCTGTTATCTAGCGTGTTTATGAGACAGAAAAAGAAACCAGCAATCCTACCATCATGCAAAACAGTTACAGGTTTCTGTTTCACAGTCATCTGGCAGGACGGTAGTACTTCCCTGGGTGGTTGCTGTCTAAAAACTACTCCCTATGAATTGTTTTGACTGCAATTTTTAGAAAAATGATCCCCTTGCAGAAAAGAAATTTTCCCTTTTTCTGATGGTTTCTTTTAACTGGGTACTCTTAGGGGGGTGTTATTTTTTTCCCCTGTGGAGAATCATTATTTCTGATTCTTGCTACTTGTTGCAACTTGCAACTATTTTTAGAAATGAATTTTGTTATTACCTTTGGGTAATTTTTTCCCCTTTTGTAAAATTGACGTTTACCTCGAGTTTTTATTTTAAAATTTTTAAAAATGAGACCAAAATAACTTTTGTAAACTTTTTCGAGATCCATTCAAGTGTTTTACAGCTGAATTTTTCTGTACTATGGCACTCAACCCAGTTGATTCCTTCAGATTATATTTATTACTTAAAGTTTTAGAGTGCTTCCAGTTTAAACTCTGAACTGCTTTTAAACCTTTGAAGGGCGATCTGGAGTTTTAAATTAAAAATATATTCATAGACCCAACCTATTTGTTCATATTACCATAAGCGACTTTCACCAAGTCAACGCTTCCTTGTAAAGTCATTTCTTTGGGGAAAGGTTTGTGGGGTTATGTGAGCATCTCCCTCTTATGTTTTGAGGAAAAATAATTTATTTAAACTGCTGGGTCATCTGCTGCACAGCTGCTTTAAAAAATTAAACCCAAAAAACTCCCCCAGTTTTCTCCAGGATCAAAAACAGGTAAACTAATTTGGGAGTTTTTTGGCAAAGAAAAAATCTTTTTTTTTTCATAATATGATTTTAACATGGATCTACTTTGTTCATCTCACAGTTTACTAAAAAAATCTCCTTCTATTCATTGTAATAAATTTGTATGAATCTTTCTATTCCCCAAAGCTTAAAAAACAATTTTAAAAAATCGTATCACAGTTTCTTTATGCTTAATTCCAAACATTTTTTTTATGCTTTTGTTCATGCCCTTTTTTTTTTGCTTTTCAGTGATGCTTTTTTTGCTTTATATTCCATATTTTGCTTTTATTAATTCCTTTTTTTTCACCATGATGCAATGTATTAATTCAACTTAATAACATGATTTTGTACTAAATTATGCACTTTTTAAAGGGAAAAAGTCAATTTCCCTTTTAAAGAATCCCAGCTCTTGAGCTTTGCAATTACATGTAGAAAATTATATAAATTTTAAATGTCTTTAAAGCAAACCCTTTTGCCGCCATTGCTTATAAAAAATTTTATACAAATAATTAAATCCTTTTCCCGAAATTTTGGGATATCAAATTAAAATTAACACTTAAATAATAGCAAACATTGGCTTATCAATTGGCCAGAATTGTCTTATCAAATTAATATTGTACAAATACATTAATAAAATCCTAGCCACTTTGGTTTGCAAAATTATATTATCACATTATTTAATCTTTGCCCCCTTTAGCTGATTATGAAAATTAAATTGTAATAATTATAATCCCTACACATTTAAATAAATTGTGAATTAAAATCCACCTCCCTTTTGTCATTTTTCATATAATTTTAAAATAATTAACTAAATTAATTTCTTCACTAATTAATCCCGGTTTAAGGACCCCAAAGGGCAAATTAAAAGTGGAAAATTGCATTTACTGAAAAAATTATGTACATAACATAAAGAACAAAGATTATTATTATTTTATCGTTAGACAAGTAGGAATTTGGGACACCTTGTCACAAAAATGTCCCCCCCTTTGATACCTACACTTCATATCCACAAGTTGCTCTGGGCCCATTAATTAAAATAAAAAATAATCACCAGGAATTCTGGGGAAAAATAAATTTGTGGACTGTATATTAAAAATAATAAATATTATATATAATATATATATATTAAATATATTATATATATTATATATTAAATATATAATAATTAAAAATTTTATGATATTATATTATATATATTATATATTATATATTAATATAATATATATATTCATCATTTTATACAACAGAAGGAGATATTTTTAAACATAAAAATCCCAATTTGATGGAGATTATGTGTATCATACTCAAAAAAACTCATAAGAAAATAACACTGGCCAGGTTAAACTAACAAAATTTTCTGAGGTTCCTGGAGCGTCTTTTCCAGTCGCCTGATATCTCAAGTTATGCAGGAATGCATATCCAACAATTTCGCCTCCTATTTGAGAGGTGTCAACCCAGTTTTAACCTCTAGAGCACGAAAAATTCTTCCCATTCACTCTAACGTTCTGTTCAGTTCAAACAACAATGGCGACTGTCCTCTTTGTGCAGAAAATTTCCCATTTTTTATGACATAAATATTAAATACAGTATGGCCATCTATTTACATATAACTACTGCATTTCTGGAAAATATATACAGTATTTTCCACAATAATGGATGTATGATTGATTTAATGTTCAGGTTACATTGTATACTGAATGATATGGATATTACAAACGCAAATTAGAATAATTCTCAAAGTTCTATGTTTTCAGGCTGAACACCCATCATTTTTCCTGCGAGCACCGACGGTAGAGATCAGTGACACCACCAGCCCCACACAGCCGCCCTCACTCGCTGCCTCCACACCCAGTGAGTCTCATACTCCCAGACTCAATGATATCAACACTTCTACTAAGACCAGGTAACATTTTACTATTCATCAAATATCAAGCTAAATAACTTAGCATCTTGATGGATCTAAATCCTCAGGTTAAGTCGTTATAAAATTATGTTTTTAATATCAATATTATTGGTGCAATATTGGAATTTTTTAATTATAAAAATCAAGTAGTAGTATGTTATTTTAATAAAAAAAACAATTATAGCAACTAAGTAATTTTCAGATCTATTCATAATTAAATTTTAAATTTATGAATTAAAATCTTCAAATATAATAAAACGAGTTTCTAAGAGTAATGACACATTACGAAGAGGTTTATTGTCGTAACTGTTAAACCAATCAAAATAAATGGTCTCACCTTACAATAATGAAGACAGCAGAGAAAGTAGGTGATAATTAGGAAAGCTAGGACGTAGGATGACCTGGGAAAACTATGAGTGAATGTGAATGTGAATGTTTTTATGTTGCAGTAGCTGTCCCATCCTTGTAGCCCTGAGTAACCCAGTCGGCTGTAAATTTTAATGAATAATATGAAGATATTCTGATCATCTTTATTTTTGGAGCTCGTCAGAAGGGCGTGTTTTCTAAGTTCATTTTCAACGAAAATTACAATATCACTTGTACGTAAGTGGTCTTTTGTAACTGTAACTCTGATATTATGTGACCTAAGACTGTTAATATAAGCACTGCTTTATGTTAATGTGCTCTACAAGAACGTAAGTGTTTCTCTGGTTAAACGTAAAAATGTAGACATGATATATATATATAAAATAATATAATATATATATAATATATCATATAAATGATAGAATATATATAAATATATACTATAATATACATATATATGTCCGTGCCGAATCAGGCAGCAACTTTCGATCTTGGCTTTAAATATCAACCCTCATCATGCCATATAGTTACAATGAAAATTTGTGTATGCAATAATTTTTTTCGCAAAATCATCTGAACCTAACGAAAAAAATATATTTCACTGTGTTGTTTAGTATTAAATATATGTAAAGAAATTACTAAAATATATATAGTTAGGTAGCTAAAATATATATAGTATCTTGTTATATATAAGGTTAGGTAAGTATTTCTAAGATTATTTGGTGTCAAAATTATAAATTTCTTACATCAACATTATGTAAAAAAATATATCTTAAAACGTATAAAGAAAATTTCAGATAGGACTTAATTTTAAATGATTCTTGCAATCTGACCATTTTACATGATTAGGCACGACATATAAATGTATATTATATATAATTATATATATATAAAATTATATATATATAATATTATATATAACATTAATAAATAATATATATTTATAATATAAATATATGATAAGATATAATATAATATTTAATCAATTTTACAATGGGTGAAGACATTAATAAAAGCATTTGATTGTTTATATCTTATTACATATATCAGAATGCATATTATATATAACATAATGTTTTATAAGAACATGCACTAAATATCTTTATTATGTGTAATCACATAGAAAGAATTTGGACAGTTTAGGTTTTGCCATCTAAAAATTTCTTACTCATGAATGCTATATTATGTAATACTTAAATTTGGTACAATATAGGAAAATTATGTACCAACGCTAAAAACAAATTCAAATAATTGATTCTTTAATTTAAACCTTTGTTTTATATTAATATTCTAGAAAATACTGGCTGACGTTGCAGATATTTACATACGCTGCTCACAATTTGTAAAGAGATAGATGTGTATCGTTGAGTGATGATGAATTTTGACATTATTTATTGATGGTGTTGCAGCATCTCTGGTACAGCAGGCAAACCAATCTGCCCTGACGGACCCTACCTTGGCCACCTTCCTTGATGTTGCTGTACTCCGCTGCCTCTTTGTGCACCAGTGGATGGAAGAGGGGGTTTATTGGGCTATTAATTTTATTTACAGAAGGTAAGATTCTGTGAATGGGTCACATATTCACGGACGCTTCAGGCACTTCAGCCACCACGGTCATCACCTTTGTCATTCAAGTATCCTCGGCACCTTTGCCACTCAAATGTATTTGGTACTTTTGTCGCAAGAGTGTACTCGTTCTGTTTGTCACACAAGTACCTCGATACTTAACGGCACACAAATGTACTTGGTAGCATTTTTACTCATAGGGAATCGTCATCTTTGTTACACGAGAATACTTTGTAACTTTGTCACACTAGTATACTTTGTTCCTTTAGTCACAAATATACTTAGTACTTTCATCATACAAGTGTCCTTGGTAACTTTGTCACACATATGTATTTAATACCTTTCGTTTTTTCTGAGCAGTTCACATAACATGCATATTATCATCATTTAAAGTATCACTATGACTCTTTAACTCACTCTTGCAACACAAATACATTTATATAAACATTCTTTTAAGTGAGTTTTTTTCACATTGATGTTGTTTACTTATTCTTTCTAAAATGCTTGAGCAAAATGCATTAGTATGACATGAATATCAGCCATTAATTTAGCTTGAACATGATCCTTTAACTTGGCTTGAATATGATTCGTAATCATGGTCTTAATGGCTTCGCTCTAGTTTGTGTGGAAATCTTTATATTAATACAGCTCGAAAACAGCATGGCTTGAATGGGATTCATGAACACTGCTTCAACAGGATCCATTAATATGGCTGTAACATGATATATTAACATTACTTTCACACCAGCCATTCACTAACATGGCTGCAACATTACTTCAACTCGAACCATTATCATTTATTGAAATGGATTAAATAACATGGATGTAACGGAAGCCATTAACTGATCTCCATTAACAAAGTTGAATGATCTCCATTAACATTAGCAGGAACTGCTATCATTAACAAAAGCTTGAACGATCATCCATTACAATGCTGAATGCATCTCCTTACAAAGCTTGTACTGATATCCATTAACAAAGCTTGAACTGATCTCCATTAACAAAGCTTGAACTGATCTCCATTAACATAGCTTGAACTGATCTCCATTAACATAGCAGGAACTGCTCTCCATTAACAAAGCTTGAACTGATCTCCATTAACAAAGCTTGAACTGATCTCCATTAACAAAGCTTGAACTGATCTCCATTAACAAAGCATTGAAAACTGATTCTCCATTAACATAGCAGGAACTGCTCTCCATTAACAAAGCTTGAACTGCTCTCCATTAACAAAGCTTGAACTGATCTCCATTAACAAAGCTTGAACTGATCTCCATTAACAAAGCTTGAACTGATCTCCATTAACATAGCTTGAACTGATCTCCATTAACATAGCAGGAACTGCTCTCCATTAACAAAGCTTGAACTGATCTCCATTAACATAGCTTGAACTGATCTCCATTAACATAGCTTGAACTCTCCTCATTAACAAAGCTTCGAACTGATCTCCATTAAATAAGCTTGAAACTGATCTCCATTAACATAGCTTGAACTGCTCTCCATTAACAAAGCTTGAACTGATCTCCATTAACATAGCTTGAACTGATCTCCATTAACATAGCTTGAACTGATCTCCATTAACATAGCTTGAACTGCTCTCCATTAAACAAAGCTTGAACTGAGCTCATTAATGCTTGAAACTGATCTCCATTAACATAGACTTGAAAACTGCTCTCATTAACAAAAGCTTGACTGATCTCCATCTAAATAGCTTGATCTGATCTCCATTAACCATCGCTGAACTGATCTTCATTAAAAATAATCTAAACTGATCTCCATTATATGGCATAGCAGGATCCATTACAAACCTCTAAGATTCAAGTAAATGGAATTAACATGAAAAATTAACAAAAGTCAACATATTTTAGTACAAGATATTAACATAAGAGGATCTATTAATACTGCTTGAATCACTGAAAGAGGCTCAAATCAATATGGCTTGAATCGGATTGATTGAAAACAGTTAACAAAAGATTCATGATCAACTTGGGCTTTGGACCAGGATCACTAATATATATTCTAGGAGTTATCTTAACAAAACATTCACAATAATAGGAGCATAATTTTCTAAACATGTATACGAGTACGTCTTTTCTTTGCCTAACATAATATATACGTGTCCAGAAAAAAATCACAGTAAGGGGTTAAAAGCTTAATCCTGTGGGGGTGACAGGTGAGCCCAATAATACTGGTCAGGCTGCTCCGGGATTTGTTTTTGTAGTCGTGTTATTAAGATTCCGTGAGTCATGATACATGCCCAGCTTACAATGCTTGTTCATGTCCAGCTTACAATGCTTGTACATGTCCAGCTTACACTGCTTGTACATGTCCAGCTTACACTGTTTGTACATGTCCAGCTTACCTGCTTGTTCATGTCCAGCTTACACTTATGTACATGTCCCAGCATACAGTGCTTGTACATGTCCAGCTTACAATGCTTGTACATGTCCAGCTTACACTGCTTGTTCATGTCCAGCTTACACTTCTTGTACATGTCCAGCATACAGTGCTTGTACATTTCCAGCTTGCATACTTGTACATGTCCAGCATACAATGCTTGTATATGTCCAGCTTACAATGCTTGTTCATGTCCAGTCTTACATACTTGTACATCGTCCAGCATTACAAGTGCTTGTACATGTCCAGCTTACACTGCTTGATTACATGTCAGCTTACTCTGCTTGTAATGTCAGCATACAAGTTACTTGTACATTTCCAGCTCTACATACTGTACATGTCCAGCTTACACTGCTTGTACATGTCCAGCTTACACTGCTTGTACATGTCCAGCTTACAATGCTTGTACATGTCCAGCTTACATACTTGTACATGTCCAGCTTACAATGCTTGTACATGTCCAGCTTACATTGCTTGTACATGTCCAGCCTTACATGTTGTACTTGTCCAGGCATACATGCTTGTACATGTCAGCTTACAATGCTTGTACTTGTTCCAGGCTTACATACTTGTACATGTCCCAGCTTACAACTGCTTTGTACATGTCCGCTTACACTTGCTTGTACATGTCCAGCTTAATGCTGTACATGTCCAGCTTTACAATGCTTTTAGGTTGTTACATGTCCCAGTATTACACTGCTTGTTACATGTCCAGTTACACTGTTTGTACAATGTCCAGCTTACATGCTTGTACATGGTCAGCTTACAATGCTTGTACATGTCCAGCTTACACTGCTTGTACATGTCACTGAACACTGCAGATCAACTTTCCATGTCTATGAACATCAATTAGGACTGCCATGAGTGACTGTGTTTTATAGCTGATACCAAATAGTTGTAAAAAAATTATGTTTTAGGAAAATAATAGGAAATTGAATGTAAAAAAATGTAACTTGTGTATGTGTTGTGTATGTTGTGTGTGTGTGTGTGTGTGTGTGTGTTGTGTGTGGTGTGTGTGTGTGTGTGTGTGTGTATGTGTGTGTATGTGTGTGTTGTCGTGTAGTGTGGTGTGTGTGTTTGTGTGTGTGTGTGTGTGTGTGTGTGTGTGTGTGCAACATGTGTGGGTGTGTGTGTGTGTGTAGCGTGTGTATGTGTGTGTGTGTGCAGTGTGAGTGTAGAGTGTGTACATATGTGTGTGTATGTGTGTGTGTGAGTGTGTGTTGTGTGTGTGTGTGTGTGTGTGTGTGTGTGTTGTGTGCTGTGAGTTGTGTGTGTGTGTGATGTGTGTGTGTGGGTGTTGTGGTAGTGTGTGTGTGTGTGTGTGTGCTGTGTGTATGTGTGTGTGTGTGTGTATGTGTGTGTGTGTTGTGTGTCGTGTGTTACTGTGTATGTATTTGTGCAGGCCATGAGGGTGCATGTGTGTTTGCATAGATTGGGAGTTTTGCCTTATCAGCTCAGCTCTCTACATCTTGCCGTTTGCTAGTGTCATTCCTTCATTCCTTCATTGGGACTCTGTTGTGGACTGATCTTAAAAAAACTATGTAGCTTGAACCTTAATGAGTAACTTCCTTCTTCCAGGTCATTCTACTTCCTGATCGTTGCGAGGCTAAAGAAATTAATCTTGATATCTCTGTGGACTCATGTGTGCTTTAAACTTGCAAAACTATGTCCCTTGGTACTTGTGTCTTCTGCCCCTCACATAGTTTATCCGTGACTATCTACCATTTCAATCCGAATATTTTATTAAGTTGTTATCCTGTCGTTAGTGCAGTTTAGCTTCTTCTTCATAACTCATATACCACAGGCACTGGAACTACCCTATTGCGTATTTTCACTTCTTTACTTCTTCTCTTCTGATAACATGTGATTGAGGACCTTGAATGCTCTTCTGTTGAAAATTCCTCATGTCCTTACTCTTAATTTGCAAGATGTTCAGTGGGGGAGGGGGGGGGACTGTAAAGGCCATTCTAGTCTCCGGAGAGATGGTCTGACAACTGGACATTTTTGAATTTTCGTGCAGCAAAAAACAGGTAATGAATACTGGGGAAGCGGTGAAAGTCCAGGCACGGAGTTCGTTCTTGGGACAGAAGCTGCAGACCTCACCGCAGGGGGGAGAGTACCTAACATCAACAGATATCTTTGCAGCCAACTCATTATCTGGAAAATCTAAGAGTAGCCTTCAGGAATCTTTTTTCTCCGTCTTGTCTCTTTTTTCCATGTTAAGTTGAGTCGTAATTAACAGGGTATACATCTGACCTAATCCAATTTAGTATGTCATTCACATAACCATTATAATTGGTTATAAATTCCGATCCTGCGGAACTTTGCTTTGCTACTTTATCAATTTAGGCATTTACCAGGAGCAAATGCTCTTTGATTTTCCTAAGTTGTTATTGCCTGCACTTCATGAGAAGCACTCTTGTGACGCCACTCAATCCTTTTTTTTTTTGTAGTCCAACATAGGTATTCTCCATCACATTCTCTACTGTCTCATTTGTCATTTTCTCAGAGAAAAATTAACGATCCGTGAGACATGATTTGCCATATCGAAATTCATGAAACAACTCCGACCAAGTTATTTACCAATGTTA